ATCATCATCATCATCATCATCATCATCATCATCATCATCATCATCATCATCATTATCATTGTTTGGAAAGCAGAATAGGAGGGAGAGTCTAGTTTGATTTTCAGACAAAAATAATGTAAAAATATAAAATGTTTAAGATTTGTTTAGTTGACACGGCTCAACGTTTCGCCTCTTGCGCTTCCTCTGGAGCAACTGAGAGTAAAACTAAATAGGCGCTGTATTATAGCTGTATATCATCATCATCCTCATCATCATCATCATCATCATCATCATCATCATCATCAGCAGCAGCAGCAGCAGCATCATTGTAATACAAAATAGAAAAGAGTAGAAAAAACTTACTAAGTTTTATTAAGAGTTTTACAGCACTTACAATTTGTCATATAAATGCTGAAGATTAGAGGTGTCACTAGAGAGTAACATGTATGTAAGAACAAAAGGAGTGCTAATGACAATGGGTGTTTGAAAGGAAAGAAGGAGTGATAATGACAATGGACGTTAGATAGGAAAGAAGGAGTGCCCTCCAACCACCCTCTGCGTGTCTTGAGTAATTTACGGTCCGTAAATATAGATGAAATAAAAACTTTCAGTTACTATAGCAGCACAATCCTTCGCTTCGAAGACTTCTCCGGGAATGTCAATGGTGAAAGTGTAAGATACGTAAATCTGGTGGGTGCCTGGGAAAGGTAGGCTCATTGCAATTTTTGGACTTTTAAGACTAAAACTGTCATTTATAAATTTTTCACTTTTCTACATTGTGCTTTTTCAATTTTAAAGATTTCTTAACTTTTTAGCCATGTTATGACCTTTTAAAGTTACCAACCGTTCGAAACAAAGTTTAGAGAAAAACGCGTCTAAAGTTGAAGAACACTTTTTTCTTGGTTCTAATCTGTATTGCAGCCAGTTTACAGCAGTTACCCTCTATAGGCTTTGCTTATTACACAAAGAATCCCATAATGCTATTAGAGAGTAAAAGGGCACAGTGGTGTGATAAAGTTGAATTTGCAACGCATGTCTCCAATTTTCAAAAGTAAGCCTCCACAAGCAGAAAAGCGGAGAAGACAAAAACTTCTGTAGTACTTGACACAAGAATATGATTGAGGTATCGAAGTAAAGGTCTTGGAGAGCTCGTAATGAAATATAAAATCAGCAACAATGCCTACAACAACAAAAGCTCCAACACAAAAACATCAACAACACTACCATTAACAGCATCAATTATTACATCAATGGTATTTCCGAATTTTTTAATATTCTAATCTCAATTCCTCTAGTCTAGTTTGGGCTTAGAATATCGACGCGCAGTTTAATTTTAAAAAAGAAAAAGAAAGAAAACTTGCTACATTGCTACTCACGTTTCCGGCATCTCTTGCATTGTCGACGGAATGAGGACATCTATCAACACCTGGGGACAAAGAGAGAAAAAAAGATAATTTTTTTCTTCTTG